TTGGTGTCTGTCTGGCGACGAAGTCAATCCTCCAGACAGATCCTCCGCATGGTTCTTGGGGTGGTCCAACACTCCGAGAGCAGATTCCGTGAGTTTCCCCAGCGGCGGATCATATTCTCTCGTCTTTGTTGCCAGGTAAGGAATGTGTTTTTTGACACGAGGGCGTGTCACAGACTTCCGACCACCGAACATGATGGGTTCTTCCCCGGGCATCCACAGAAAACCATACACTACCCGGCAAATAGATGGCACAACTCCGACGTTTTTTAAGTCTGGCACGAAGCAAAAAAAGTCCACCGTTCCGTTGGCACATTTCTTCAGGGGTCAAAAATTGTGCCATCTATGTTTTGCAAAAACGTCCGCCGACCCCCTTTTACCTCTTCTGTGAGTGGATCGGAGTGAAGTGGGGTGGGAGTGAAGTGGCGTGGCGTTGAGTGGAGTGGGGCAGTGGGATGGGGGAGTGGAGTGGAGTGGTGGGGTGGAGTGGAGTGGAGCGGAGCGGAGTGGAGCGGAGTGGAAGGGAGGGGAGGGGAGGCGTGGAGGGGTGGGTGGGGGATTGGTGGAGCTTTCTTTTTTTTACTGGCTGTTCATCCCAAACTTTTTTGATTATGACTCACCCCAGTGTGACAGACCTACTGATGCGTATTATTCTAACCAAACACTTGGAAATTAAAAACGTTACCCAAAAGGAAGCTGAAGTATTGGTTGCGTCTGTGTGTAGTTTATTTTTTCAATAGGAGGCATTGCTGAACCAAACTACACTCTTGCTTGAGAATCGCACACAGTCTGTCCTCTGCCCCTCCCTCGAACTCCTGGGACCTTGAGAGCTGCAAGATCAGAGCGTTTCAGCGACAAGTTAACTGGACTTCCTCAACTTCGCTGCCTGGGAAGCTTGCCTTGCCTCAAAATCAGCCTGCCTGGCTGGACTTCCCCCGCTGCTGGGGGCTGCCTTGTGGAGGCACTGCCCCTCCCGCAAATCAAGAAAAGAAGAAAAGTAGATGGCATAATTCCATGTGAACCTGCGACGGTCGCATGCCAGGCTTCTAGGGGCTGCCTTGTGGAGGCACGGCCCCTCCCACAATTCCATGTGGGCCTGCAACTTGCTGGCAACTCCGCTGTGTGGGAAACTTGCCTTGCCTCAAAATCAGCCTGCCTGGCTGGACCTGGGAGCTAGGTACTTGGTCTTTGAGACTCCCCATGCTCTTGTCATGGAGATTATCATTGAACTGTTGCATAGATTCGTACTGTTTCTGAAGAGCGCTGCGCTGACTCTGGGCCATGTTTTCAACCCTCGTCAGTTCAGCTTGTTCCTCTGCCATTCCGGTAGAGACCGTCATTGGAGGCCGCTGTCTCCTCTCGCCTCAAATGGCTCCTTCGTAGCTGCGTGACCTGAAGCTTTATAGATCGGCTAACTTGTCTGCAGATCGGAACCATTCCTCGGCTCGCTCCCGGACAGGTGTTGCATCTGATCCCTCAAGGCTTGGGTCTGTCCATCTTTGTTGGTGACTATGCTGTCGTGGTACATCTCCGCACCTCTCAATTTGGCCTGCATGGTCGATTCTTCTTGTTTCATTGAGTCTCGAAGACGTTCGTTCGTTCTTGATCCGTAAATCGGTGCCAGAGCCAACCATGGATTGATACTCGTTGGTGGCTTCGACCGCTTTCCATAACGAAGCTGAGATCTCACTGTTCTCCATCCGCAACTGTTGAGTTTTATTGTTGAAATCGTAGGCCATTGTTTCAAGCTCATTCAGCCTGTTGGCCTTGATGCTTAGCTGGTCCATCGCCAAGTTGTACTCATCCTTCATCCTTCCATGGACATGTGCAACTTGGGATTCCAGGATATGATTCATTCTTTCGAGTCCTAGAATCCTCTGTAGGCTTCCTGCCTCATCGGGTTCCAGGTGTTTTACAGATGACCGTAACGATGCACATTCCTCCTTCAGTGCCTGGTTCTCATCATGCTGCTCCGCAGCCTCGTTCATCTGTACTTCCGCCTTCCTCCGCGAACCACCATCATCGAGTGTTGATCCGCACTTCTGGGGTGACTTGGGGAACCCCTTGACGAGGACGACTTCTCTCCTTGACGAGATTTTCGGATTCTTCCGCCCGTCATCTTCTTCTGACATTACTCTCGGCCGGGAGAAAGCACTTGCTCCCATGGTCTGGTCAACGCCGGCATCACTCTGCTGGCTAGCTGCCGCGGCCGGCTGATTCCGGTGTCCCTTGAGATGATATTCCGGCAGCAGGTGCTGCGAATGTAACCGAAGATCTCCCATCGGACATCGTCACGAAAGTGTTGTACCACTTGGCAATAAATCGAACGATTCAATATGAAGCTGGGTTCAACACCTCTAGCTTCGCAGGAATCTTTGTCTCACAGCACGTGGGACAAGCCCTACGGGTGATAGCCTGAGAAACCGACAAATTTCTTTGATACCCTGACAACACTGGTTGTGCTGTCCCCCCGGATAGAGTTCGGGAATTCGAAAATCCTCGAAACAGTGCTCGATCCGCAAGCTCGACCTTTTATGTCTATGCCAGCTATCCGCAACCAAGGTTAAGGATCTAAGCTAGCAGTTGCCAAAACGTTGCATGGGTGTTTGATAGTGTGTTTCACATCGGTGGCCCTTATCCTATTCACACCCCCCACGCAGTATGCCTCATTCTGAGACATCTGCGCAGATGCGTTGAAATTGTGGCTTAAACATTTCATCTAGGGTCCACTCCAATGTAAACACGCACACCCAAATCCGTCGGCTCTTGAACCTTGAGCCAAAACAAGTGCTGGGTGTATGATAGTGTGTTTCACATCAGTCACCCTGATCCTATGCACAAGCCAAAGAGCCCGGAGAGAAACTGGAAAGACAGAGGATGAGAAAAGCCAAAGCCAAAGCCAAAAAGCCAAAGCGAACAAATGCAAAAAATGAAAACTTAAAAAACACACCTCCGAGAGGAAGAGAGAGAAAGAGAAGGATAGAGAGAGAGGGAGACAAAAAGAGAGAGAGCGAGACAGAGACAGAGAGAAAGAGAAGAAAGAGAAAGAGAAGGATAGAGAGAGAGAGAGAGAGACAGAAAGAGAGAGAGCGAGACAGAGAGAAGAGACAGAAGACAAAGAAGAGAGAGGAGAAAAGAGAGAAGAAAGAGAAGAGAGAGAGAGAGAGAGAGAGAGAGAGAGAGAGAAAGAGGAGAAAGGGAAGAGACAGAAGACAAAGAAGCGAGACAACAGAGTCAGCAGAGAATAGAAAAAGAAAAGACAGGAGAAAAACAACAGAGAAGAGAAACAGAGAAGAGAGAGAACAGACAGAGAAGTGAGAGAGAAAAAATGAAAACGACAAAAAGAAAAGAGAAGAGAGAAGAGAGAAGAAGAAATTAGCGAGCGAAGGGAAAGAAAGAGAAGAAGAAAAAAAAGAAGAAGAGCAGAAAAGGAGAAGAAGAAAAAAGAAGAGAGAGAAGAGCGAGCGAAGAAGAGAAGAGGAGAAGGAGAAGAGAGAAATGAAAGAAGAAGAGCAGAGAGAAAGAGAAAAGAGAGAAGAAGAGAGAGAAGAGAGACGAAGAGAGCAGAGAGAAGAGAGAAGAAGCGGAGAAGAAACATCGAGAGAAGTAGAGATGAAAGAAAAGGAAAAGAAAAAAGAGAAGACAGAGAAGAGAGAGAGAAGAAGAGCAGACAAAGAGAAGAGAGGAAAAGAGAGAAGACAGAGAAGAGCGAGGGAAGAAGAGAAGAAAGAAATCAGAAGAGAGATGAAAGAAGAAGAGATGGGAGAAGAAGAGACGAGAGAAGAAGAGGAGAGAAAGGAAGACAAGAAAGAAGAAGAGGACAGAGAAGAGAAGGAAAAAGAAGAGAGGAGGAGGAGAAGGAAAGGAGAAACAAGAAGAGAGAGAGAGAAGAGAAGAAAAGCGAAAAGAGAATAAATGAAATAAGAAGAGAAGAGTAGAAAAGAGAAGGGAAGAGAGTTGAAAGAAGAGAGGAAGAAAACAAAAAAGAAAAGAGAAGAGAAGACAGAGAAAGAGAGAGAGAGAAAGAGAGGGAGAAGGAGAGAGGGAGAGAAAGAGAGAGAAAGAGAGAGAAAGAGAGAGAAAGAGAGAGAAAGAGAGAGAGAGAGAGAGAGAGAGAGAGAGAGAGAGCGCTCTTCTCGCACGGTCGATTAATTGGCAGCCTGATCCCTCCGCGCTAGAAATTTGTTGGTTGTACACGATGTCTTTCTTAGAGAGCTGAACTAGCTCAAACGTCTTCCCCACCCAATTTTTGGGCGGGCGCCTGTCACAAGCCTCATCTGAGCCAAGTTTGGCCTCGTTTTTGCCGTCACGCAGCCTTCGTTTTTTGCGCCAGCGCATGCCGAGCTGTCTTGGGAGCCGCAGTCCAAGAACTTTGCCGAAACAAACCGATTTCGACGCACACTCCTCCTCCTTCCCTCTTTCACACTGCAGTGCTGGCATGGCACCTCCTGCTGGCTACCAGAGTTGCAGTGATGCTGGCAAACCCCGAACTCCTCTCCAAACCCTGACATTGCGGCGGTGGACTGGTTGGCCTTTTTGGGAGCACACCCAGCTGGGACGACGCGTTGCAGCCCTGGAGCTGCTGGGTTCTTTGCTGCAAATCGGGTGGAAACGCATAATTGAGACCTTGCAAGGAAAAAACAATGCGTCAAAACCTGCTTGACTACCACGAAATCCGCCCCTCGCTTTTCGCACCATCAACCCACGAGCGCTCTACCCTTGTTCAAGCCACAATGGCAGCGCTACGCGCAAGCTGGTTACTGGCGGAGCAGCTCACAAAATGAAAAGCCGTCGCGTTAAAGACTCGCCTTTGCTCTGGTTGGTTTTTGACTCCGTTCCACTCCAATACATGTTACACCCCTTGCGCCAGCCTTTTTTATGGGGGAGTCGCTCGTCTCCTTCTTGATGCGGTGAAAAGATAGGCGCAAACGAGTCAATACAAGTACGGCCCGTAAAGAACTGGGCGCAACAATCAACTTTGGTGCAGCATTGCTGTCCAGCAGCCATCGCTGGAACTCTTCTGCAGCACGAACTGCCTCAGATCTCATTCGTGGCGCTCTTCAGTCCCTGCTAGTCTTGGGCGCAGCTGGCCACTCAATCATGGGACGTTTCAAGTTAACTATCAACACCAACCAACCTCACACGACGCAGGTCCAAGACTCTCATCACGATTTCCTCAAAACACATGACCTGCGTCAGCTTTGAAAGTGGCATTGGCGTCTGAATTCTCAAGCTGCAGGACGCCATGCGTCCAAAATATCAGTTTGCTCGCAAAGCCGCAGGTTTCTTCGCCAGCTCTCCCTGGCAGTGTCATCCAGGAAGCGAATTGCCACCTGCAGAACTATCCGTTGAGCAAAGATCTCTCAAGTTCTTGGAGAGGCGGCCTGGTGCCCAATGACATCAACCCACTCGCGCATACAAACATAGATGCAGAAAGAGGTTTTCTCAGCAAATTCCTCTTTCTCGCCAGAATTGTCATCTTGGGACGGGTGTCCCTAAACAATATGCCCCTAGATGAGCCTCACATTACGCTTGAAGCTTGCGCGTGGAAGGGGGGTTTTCATAGGGCTCGCTCTTGCGCCTCCTCCGTGTGCTGGGCGCTGAAGTGAAGTCGAAGCATCGGCGCCGAACCTGTCACTTCAAAACAGCGGAGGATGTCTTCTCAGCTGTCACACTTGAAACACGATCCTTCAATTTCTGGCTGCCGGCTGAGCCATGTTCCCTTATGTCGCACGCACGGCTTGGGCATTAAATAACGCATGCCTTCCGCAACGCCTTTTGTGGCGTGCGCGACTATGTGGGCGTCAAGTCATGGAAAGGCGGCTTGCGTACCTTGCGCTTTGCGCTACAGAAAGATGCGGAAAAGGAACTGCTTGACGCCGCTTTTCTCCCGGGCGAAAGACTTCCCACGCAAAAGACAAGACTGGGAAAACGGACTGCGCTTGAGCTGGAGCAATGGCAAGTGGCGAGCACCTTCTACGCGCAGGATCACATGTCTTCGAATAGGAATACGTTTGAGAGCTTAGACCCCTTCGAGGCTCCTTCGTGACTCCTGCTTGGAGAGGGCCTTGTGGGGAGCGGCACGTTTCCTTCACATGAAAACGTTGCCTGCCAAAGTACGAAACCGCTTTTTATCGGAAAGCGCTTCAGCATGGTAGCCATGACACCAACTTCGATTGGATGTAGTTCCCCGGAACAGGCGCTGAGGGCAGCAGAAACAGCCCAACTTACGGGCCTGAAGGAAAATCACGAGAAACGAGAATTAGTAGACGGGGGTGTTGCTGCTGTGTCCGGTTTCTTTCCATATCGGATCCAATCCCGCGTCTACCGAGAGAACCCAAAGTTGCGCAAAGGCAACAAACGAGAGCAATGCCCTCGTTAAGTTGTCGATACGAACGCTCTCATGTGTGTACGAGCGCTCTCGAATGTGTGCGATCTGATTCGCGCGCGCAGATCATGCTGCATTTGGCAACGCTGTGAGCTCAGCGTACGCGCAGTAGAGTGTCGAGCGCTGCGAGCGGGAAGGCGTGTCGTGGTGCTGTTTGCGCTGCCAACTTGCCTGCGGCGTGGCTGTCTTGCTCCAGACATTGTCATATAAAAACCTGACTGCGGTGACAGGTTTGTTGCGCACGATGTCGCTCGCGCTGCGCCGAAGCCTCCGTTTGCGCTGCCACCCTGCGCAAGAGCACGCGACGTTTTATTCCTGAGGCTGTAGGATTTTTCCGGCCATGCGCATGCACTCCTGCAATTTCCTACCTAGCAGTCATTGCCCAGAACGGGCGCGGGATGGTGTGGGGAACATCAAAAGCAGGATGAAAGGCAGCAAGGTACAGAAACAAGCCGAATGGTGGAAAGCTGGAAGGCAAGACGACAGGCAGAAATGGGAGGGAACAACAATAAATTCAATGGCCCAAGAACAGCCAAAGGAGACAGGAAAGAAGCGGGGGAAGGCAAGAAGGAAGAAAAGAAGCGAGGGCCGGAAGGCAGTTGCCAAAATCAAGTCAAGCAAAAGGATAGCAAGCAGGAGGAACAAGAAGGGACATGAAAAAGAAAGCTAAAAGGGATATGTGTGGGATATGTGTGAGTTGGCGCTGCTCGCGCTTCAGAAAACGCATGCTCCTGCTTCTGTTTTCCTCTCGTGGCCTGTTTGTCTTGCCGGCCAGGTTAGTTTTTCCGGGCGCTCTTGGTGCTGGGGGTGCCCAGTTGCCAGCCGTGGTGCCCAAAGCTGACACAGGGTAACATATGCATTATTTGACTGAATCCTTGCCCTTTCGATTTCCATGCCTTGTGCGCGTGAACTGCAAGTGGGTTACGTTGTGTGTGTTGGACGCATGTTGTAATGTTGCACGCGCTCGGTACGCAGTTTGTATGCAGTTGTTATGCGGGACAATGCGGGATTCAGGTGCATTGCGCACATGGTTCTTTAAAGAAATTACAACAGTTCGATCGCAAATGCAAAATACACACGCGACGCAAGTGCAAATCAATCAAAATGCGCACAACATGTGAACAAAATGCAAACAACAGTCCACACTACGCGTGCGTCACACAGAACGCACGCACGCGAAACGCATACAACATGCGCAACATGTGCCCGGAATGCGTTCACACGCATGCAGGGATTATTCTACAATGCTTGCAAGGCGCGTGCAAAACGCATGCAACATCTGTGCAACGCCAAATTATACCAATTGCATACGCAATGCGTACGCAATGCGTACAACATGCGTACAACACGCGTTCAAGCACATATGGCACGAATACAAAACGCAGACAACACGCAGGCACTTGTGCAACACACGTGAACCCCACAGACTAAACGCACGCAGCACTCATACAACATGCAAGCAGCACGCGAACAATACGCAAGTCCACTGGACACTCAATTCGCGCACACAAACTGCATGCAACATGCGTGCGAGACGCATGCAACAGGCATACAGGGTGCATACAACATGCGTACAGTGCGCAACATGCGCGCAAGATGCAGACAACACTCAATCAACCGGCACACAAGAAGCATGCGCGATGCGTGCAACATGCATACAAGACACATACAAAATGCACAGAAGACATTCAACACACATATAGCGCGCAAAACGCACAAGCTGCGCAACACGCGTGCAACATGCGTGCAAGAAGCACACATGACGCATGCAACATGCATACAACACGCATACCATCTGCATATGAACTGCGTGCGTGCAAAAAACACACAAAATTCAGAAAATGCAAACAACGTTCGTGGAAACCGAATGTAGCTTGCCAGGTGAGTAGTCACTCAAACAAATGCATATGTTACCTGCTGGCCTTAGAGCTGTAGGAGAGTGCTCTAGCAGGCTTTGCGCATCAAACTCGTAGAACTCCAGCGTTGGACAATTGCCCCTCGAATATTAGATAGTGACGGTCGTGGCTTAAATTGCATTTTAGGTCATCCCAAAATCAGATATAGGTACTACCTCAACAACGTATTGTACCCGGGTGCTTATGTAGAAAATCAAGCATAAAATCACCAAAACACGCAGATTCCCAGCCACCTACTTTCAGGCGTTCTGCAAACTAACAGTGGGGCGACAGTTCCCTTTTGTTGGCCGCAGACCGAGGCCTTTTTACACTTTGCTACGTTTCGCTCCAAAATCTTTCGATTCACAACTTGTCCCGTTCGCAGCCAGCCACTTCCCAATGTCTTTCTTCCTCTTTTCGTTCCGAATCGCGGCTTTTTCCTGGGACACGGTTTCCATTGGCCAGTATATCTGCATCTTGCGAGACCCCCTCGCTGCCACGTTGACAAAGGCCCGGAAGGGCCCCAGCCGCGTTAGCGAAATAGCCAAGATTTGGAGCGAGAAGTTGCGAAGTGTTGGATGTTGCTCTGATTTAACCAAGAGAAGTGGCCGGCTGCGAATGGGAGTGTGATTGGGAACAAAAAGTTCCAAATTCCACCTCAGTCTTCGACTAGTCTGCAGAATCCCTAGAATGCCTAGATTCAGTAGGCCAGGCATTGACGCATTTTGTTGGTCTTTGTATTTTACAGAATCACTTACCTAAATTCCGTTTTGTGGGAAGTACTTAAATGCGATTTGGGGACTACTTAAATGCAACTTGGGCCGCTACCACTTCTCAAAAGGGGCAATTGTCCATCGCTGGAGTTCTCCGGGTTCAATGTGCAGAGTGAGTACTCGCCCGGAAAGTCGCAGTTGATTTCCATGAATGTTGTACGCACCTTGTATGCATACCGTGCGCATGTTGTATGCGCGCAGTTCATATGCGTCGCGTACGCATGTTGCACACTTGTTGCGTGTGTGTTGTATGCATCTTGCGTGCGTGTTGCGTGCGTCGTGCGTCCTGTCAGTTTGCATGGTGTTGCACACACACACACACACATCGCATGCATCTTCTCTCCATTTTGCATGCGTCTTGTATGCGTGTTGTATGCAGCGTGTGTGCGTGTGTGCTTTTTGTACGCGTGTTCTATGAATGTTGTACGCATCGTGTATGCGTGTCGCACGCTGTACGCGTGTTGCGTGCACCTTGTACGCACATGCGTGTTGCATGCGCTTTGTTCGCATCGGCCGTGCATTTGATTTGCACACTGTACGCATGCTGCCTGCGTGTTGTTCCTTGACACCCGTCCGATCGCAATTTTGGAGGCCATACGCTCACGACCTTAATTGCCCCCGGTCGAGGTCATACGGGATTTTCGAGGTCAATGCATTTTCACGATTCTCACGGCCTGCTAAGATTCTGGCAGCGTCGTAAAATATCAAAGGGGCCTGCAAAAGGCCCTGCGTGATTGCGCGCCGCGAAATCTCAAGGTAGACGTTGCACGAGCAGCAGTAAGCCGGATCCGACGCGTTGTCATACAGAGGCTGCGGCAATAAGCGCCCGGACAAGTGATAGAAATATACCCCCGCTCGGGCTCCGCGCCGAAGTGACCGGTTTGAGCTGCGCAAAGTTTCTGCGCGCCGCCCCTTCGAAGGCGGGCTTGGCCCGAAAATCGCACTGCCCAGCGCCAAAGATGTACTTCCAAAACCCTGGCTCGAAAGTTGCATCTTTTCGTCATCAACCAAGCGCACTCGAATCACGGCCGCAGCCCGGCTCGAAAGACAGAACTAGTTCTTTTAGGCGCCAAAGAAGCGCACCAAAAGCACGACCGCAACACCGGCGCGAAAGTCACAACTTTTCAGCGCCGAAGAAGCACACACGGCGCGACCTCGACATCACGTTTCCTTCCTAGGCTGTGACAACAACCGCATCCGGGAGCATGAGCCGGCCATGCTCAGCATCGCGCAGCATCACGCAATGACGCTGCGTGCAAAAGCGTGTGAAAATCTTTCTTTATCTCGAAGCTGTGGTTCGCGGGGGGGAGGGGGCGGGGGCGCGGTTCAGCACGTCCACTGTTTACCCGCTGAGCGCCTTGAAAACGCACACCCCCAAGGCCACACGCAATATTACGGGTCTCTACTGAACAACTCATATTCGGCTGAAGGAATTTCTCGGATGCGTGAAGAGAACACCCACTCTTGAGTCAAAGAAGGACTGAAGAAGAAACCAAACGGGCTTCCTACTGTAGAAAAAGAGGTTGTGGGGCTAGTCTCCCCTTATTGAAAGCAATGTGTGATGAGCGTGTTGCG